GCGCGCAGTGTGCACATGTGTGTGTATATGTGTGGTGTGTGTGCGCGCGCGCGCGCGGGTGTGTGTGGGTGTGTGGGTGGGTGGGTGCGCGCGCGCGCAGTGTGTGTGAGTGTGTGTGTGTGTGTGTGTGTGTGTGTGTGTGTGTGTGTCCATGCTCATCGCCAAATTTCTGATATGCCCCGGTAGCACCTCAGCAGGGGTCAGGGGAAAGACTACGAGTGTCAACAATGGCGACAGGGGCTCGCTGGAAAGATGGACGGTACCAATAAGGGAATATGGGAAATGTTTGTGCTGGTTCTCAACGGCCATCCAGTAGGGGCATACTGAAAATTTGGTACTGGTACCGGTAGGGGCATATGAAACATGTTTCAGGCCCAAACGACGCCAGGGGTTTTCTGGAAACATCATTAGTCGTCAGAGGGGCGCGACAAGGTAAGTCGGCCATCAGATGGGCTGCCGGCAAATGCAGATCTTCTTCTTCATTTGATTCAAGGGGCCTTTCCATAAAAAAAAAAAAAAAAAAAAAAAAAAATAATAACAAAAAAAAAAAAAAAAAAAATAAAAAAAAAAAAAAAAAAAAAAAAAAAAGAGAAATATTGTAATTTGTAACTGAAGGTATGATTTTATTATAAACAAAAGGAAAAAAGAAAGAAAGAACGAAAAAAATAAAGACAGAAAGAAACCTCTATCTTTTTTTTTTGCCCTTTTCTTTTTCTTTTTTTTTTTTTAAACAAGCCCAGTGCCCAAGGCTGATAGTACCAAAAAGAAGGTTGAGGCCAGGGTGGTCCTCACAGTCTACCCAGAGTGACCAAACCAAACATGCTGAGAACAGGGCTCAGCGTCCCTCACATTATTATTATTATGATGATGATGATGATGATGATGATGATGATGGTGATGAACTTCTGCTGATTCTATGAAACTGTGAGATACTAGTGATGATGATGCTAATGCTGATGATGATGAGTATATAAAAAATTATAGAAGACTATGCTGTATCCGCAAATCTGGGCTCCTAATCCTAGAACAAACCCTAGCCTTCCTTGTACCAGGACACTACATCTCAGAGACGATCCTGTTGGAATTGAGTCTGGTGATCATTTCTCAATGTTCTGAAGTGTTTTTGTCCACTGGAATTGTCTGTTGGGCTGAGTGGGGATCCGGGCCGCCCGTGTGACCGGGCGGGGGAGGTCCTGGGCGCCTGGCCGGGCGGGGCACACGGTTGGGGGTCGGGCCCCCCGAGCTCACTTTTTTTTTTTTTTTTTACCTGTCGGTGTGTGTTGTCGCATATGTGTGTGTGTGTGTGTGTGTGTGTGTCATGTGTGTGTTACGTCATTCAGACGTGTACATGGCGCAGGATCTTACGCCACCGATCTCCGAGGAATTCCTCGGCACAACACAGATAGTAGGGCATTCATGCTCATATGGGGGCAAACACGATGTATCCAATAGAGTGATGCTATGTCAGTCCCACAGTTTCCAGCAATTCCAGAAGGACAGGGGGCCCTTTCGTCGACAATATTTCAAACAGATGGAGGGGGGAAGGAGACATGCAATCAATACCACTCCACACCCAGATAGGCAGATACCACTCTGCGCAGGGTACCCAATCTCCAAATTTCGGTCGTAAATCACGAGGATCAGGTGCCCCCCCATCGTGGGTAGGACAAACAAGAGCAATTTTTTTGGCTCTGTTTTTTTCAAGGCTCATCGTGTACCGGGTATTGTCGTATGCCCGGTCTATATTTCCCATGCGCCCTGATCGCATCCGCAATCATGGGATGTATACGTCGGGCGACACGATCCCCCGGATGAAACGACATGTAAGAGGGAATCAGAAGGTGGCCGGACTAATCAGTGTACAAGGGGTTGGCGGCTATTACTCCACATACTCAAAGAATATCGAGGACAAAGATTTTTCTGTATATGCATATATATGCATATGTACGCATACATATTCATATATATATGGAATCAAACTCGTCTTCTTCCCACTTTGTCATGCCTGCAAACAGCGGTACAGCAACTGGCGACATGCGCCCACACAGTACTCAAGATATCGTAACCAGATATGAGTTCTCTTCAACTGGCTATGGCGACTG